CCAGCCGATTCCCAGCCTCAGGCAGCTCTTCCTGGCAGTCCTTGCCCAAAGCCTCCTCTCCCTCCTCCTCCTCTTCCTCCTCCACCATGCCCTCAGCCGCCACCCAGGCTCTGGGGTGCTGGGGGGGCTCCCCCCCTTCCAGGAGTGCCCCGTCGCTGCCAGAATGCTGCGCGGGGGCGAGGGCAGGGCTCAGCGCCCCGTGCCAGGGCTGGGGGGCACTGGGCACCCCAACCCACCCACACCCAGCCTTACCTTCAGCCCTGCCAAACAGGAGAGAGAAAAGCAGAGATTAGGGGGGTGCAGCATCCCAAAATTGCCCCCACAGCCCCCGGCCGCCCCTCTGCCTGTCACGCCGGTGCCGCAGCCCTGCCAGCTCACCTTGCTCGCCCAGGTGCCACAGGTTGTGCTTGGAGGGCTCTGTGGGGAGGTGAGGTGACAGTGGCATCACCCCTGTGTCCCCAAACTTGTCAGCACCCCGAGCCCCCCGAGCCTTGCTGCCATTCGCACCCGACTGCCTGCGCCCCCCATGTCCCTGCAGCCGTTCCAGGAGTGTCTCCATGTGCTCCTGGTGCTGGAAGGGCTCTGTGGGGACAGGAACAGGGACACCATCAGCAGCCAGTGCCACCCTCCCTGCAGGCATTGGTGTCACCCAGCCATGGCTTGGCCTGGGTAAGTGGTGGAGGTGGTGTGGTGTGGACACTGGGGACAGTGGGAACACGGAGGACAGTCAGGACACTGGTGACACACAGCTCTCACCAGACTGCCGGCGTCCCTGGAGTGGCTCGGTGGCAGCGTCACCCAGGGGCTGGCAGGACCAGCTCTTCTTCAGGCGCTCGGGGCTGCAGCGGGGCAGGCGCGGGGGGTCTGTGGGGACAGGGGATGACACGGGGGAACACGGGGGGGACAGAGGAGGGCAGGGAGGGAATGGCGGGGTGCCGGTGCCACTCACAGAACAGGTCCATCTCCAGGATGGCTTCCTTAGCCTAGGTGGGGAGAGGATGAAGAGAGGTGGGGGTGAAGGCAAGGTGCAGCTGCCTCCCACTCGCCATGCTGGGGGGTCCCCGGTGGCACCAAGGTGCCATCCACCTCACCCTCACCTTCTGGGGGATGGTGGCGTGGTGGTTCTCCAGGATGAGCCGCTTGATGTGGTGGGTCCACATGCGCTTCTCCTCCACACTCTTGGCCTGAGGGGCACAGGGAGGGCACTGGGGTCAGGCAGGGGGCTCCCAGGGGGGTCCCCAGGGTGCCCAATGCCCCGTGCCCCATTACCTGCAGGCTGTGCTGCTGCTTGCCGTGCTTGTAGTGCGCCAGGCTGAAGCACAGCGAGTCCCTCGTGCTCTCAATCAGCATCAGCGAGGAGCACTGCAGGGAGAGGCATCGGCATGTCCGGAGTGCACCGGGACTCCCACCCCAGAACCCACCGAGGTTCCCGACACCCACTCCGTTCCTCCATCCCTGGCATCCACCG